CAAAATGTATTCATTTTGCTGGATATCGTCTGCCTCTGAGTACACAAATTTATCTCCATTTGGGATCTGTTTACACTCGTATCCATTAGTTTATTTTCTTTTAAGGATTTATGTCTCTTGCATGTTTATCCACTGACGACATGCATTATCTGCAGCTCTCATGAAGAAAGCGCATATGAAAAAAACGCCAAAAACCTACTTATAAACACGCCAAAAGCCCAATTATAAACACGTCAAAAGCCTACTTATAAACACACCAAAAGCCCAATCATAAACAAACCAAAAGCCTCATTATAAACAAGCCAAAAGCCTAATCATAAACAAGCCAAAAGCCTAATTATCAACAAACCAAAAGCCTCATTATAAACACGTCAAAAGCCTAATTATAAACAAGCCAAAAGCCTCATTATAAACAAACCAAAAGCCCAATTATAAACAAGCCAAAAGCCTCATTATAAACACGATCTTCGGTTACAAGGAATGCGCAAAACGGGAGACAAAAGACCTTATCAACCTCAGTAACGTTGCGCTCTCGAAAAGATTGCGGCGCCGCCCAGTCTGTTGCATTTTTTGTGATTGAAACAATGCTTGTGCTGATATTTAGAGGGGGAGGGAGAGAAGGAGGGGAGAGGGAGAGGGAGAGAAGGAGGGGAGAGGGAGAGAAGGAGGGAGAGGGAGAGAAGGAGGGGAGAGGGAGAGAAGGAGGGAGAGGGAGAGAAGAAGAGGAGAGAAGGAAGGGAGAGGGAGAGAAGGAAAGGGAGAGGGAGAGAAGGAGGGGAAGGGAGAGAAGGAGGGAGAGGGAAGAGAGGGAGGGAGAGGGGAGAAGGAGGGGAGAGGGAGAGAGAAGGAGGGAGAGGGAGAGGAGGGAGAGGGGAGAGAGGAGGGGAGAGGGAGAGAAGGAGGGGAGGAGAGAAGGAAGGGAGAGGGAGAGGGGGAGAGGAGAGAAGGAGGGAGAGGGAGAGAAGGAGGGGAAGAGGGAGAGAAGGAAGGGAGAGGGAGAAGGAAGGGAGAGGGAGAGAAGGAGGGAGAGGGAGAGAAGGAAGGGGAGAGGGGAAGAGAAGCGAGGAAGAGGGAGAGAAGGAGGGGAGAGGAGAGGAGGGAGAGGGAGGAAGGGGAAGGAGAGAAGAGGGGAGAGGGAGAGGAAGGAGAGAGAGGGAGAGAAGGGGGAGAGGAGAGGAGAGAAGGAGGGGAGAGGAGAGAGAAGGAGGAGAGGAGAGGAAGGAAGGGAGAGGGAGAGAAGGAAGGGGAGGGAGAGAAGGAGGGGAGAGGGAGAGAAGGAGGGAGAGGGAGAGAAGGAGGAGAGGGAGAGAAGGAAGGGAGGAGGGGAGAGAGGAGGGCGAGAGGGAGAGAAGGAGGGAGAGGGAGAGAGGAAGGGAGAGGGAGAGAAGGAAGGGAGAGGGAGAGAAGGAAGGGAGGAAGGGAGAGAAGGAGGGGAGAGGGAGAGAGGAGGGAGAGGGAGAGGGAAGGGAGAGGGAGAGAAGGAGGGAGAGAGGGAGGAGAAGGAAGGGGAGAGGGAGAGAAGGAGGGAGAGGGAGAGAAGGAAGGGAGAGAGAGGGAGAGAAGGAAGGGGAGAGGGAGAGAAGGAGGGGAGAGGGAGAGAAGGAGGGAGAGGGAAAGGAAGGGAGAGGGAGAGAAGAGAGAGAGAGAAGAAGGTGGGAGAGGGGGAGAGAAGGAGGGAGAGGGAGAGAAGGAAGGGGAGAGGGAGAGAAGAGGAAGAGTAGGGAGGGAGAGGAAGGGGGGAAGAGGGAGGAAGGAGGGGAGAGGGAGAGAAGAGGGGAGAGGAGAGAAGGAAGGGAGAGGGAGAGAAGGAAGGGAGAGGGAGAGAGAGGAGGGGAGAGAGGAGAGAAAGGAGGGAGAGGAGAGAGGAGGGGAGAGGAGAGAAGGAGGAGAGGGGAGAGGGGAGGGGAGAGGGGAGAGAAGGGAAGGGAGAGGGAAGAAGAAAGGGAGAGAGAGGAGGGGAAGGGAAGAGAAGGAAGGGAGAGGAGGGAAGGAGGAGGGAGAGAAGGAGGGAGAGGAGAGAAGGAGGGGAGAGGAGAGAAGGAGGGGAGAGGGAGAGAAGGAAGGGGAGAGGGAGAGAAGGAAGGAGAGAGAGAAGGAAAGGGAGAGGGAGAGAAGGAGGGGAGAGGAGAGAAGGAGGGAGAGAGAGAAGGAGGGGAGGAAGGGAGAGAAGGAGGAGGAGAGGGAGAGGAAGGAGGGGAGAGGGAGAGAAGGAGGGAGAGGGAGAGGAGAGGAGGGGAGAGGGAGAGAAGGAGGGGAGAGGGAGAGAAGGAGGGGAGAGGGGAGAGAAGAAGGAGAGGGAGAGAAGGAAGGGAGAGGAGGAGAAGGAGGGGAGAGGGAGAGGAGAGGGGAGAGGAGAGAGGAGGGGAGAGGGAGAGAGGGAGGGGAGAGGGAGAGAAGGAGGGAGAGGGAGAGAAGGAGGGGAGAGGAGAGAAGGAGGAGAGAGGAGAGAAGGAAGGGAGAGAGAGAGGGAGAGGGAGAGAGGAGGAGAGAGAGAGAAGGGAGGGGAGAGGAAGAGAGAGGAGGGGAGGAGGGAGAGAAGGAGGGGAGAGGGAGAGAAGGAGGGAAGGAGGGAGAGAAGGAGGGAGAGGGAGAGAAAGGAGGGGAGGGGAGAGAAGGAAGGGGAGAGGGAGAGAAGGAGGGAGGGGAGAGGGAGAGGGAGAGGGAGAGAAGGAGGGAGAGGGAGAGAAGGAGGGGAGAGGGAGAGAAGGAAGGGAGAGGGAGAGAAGGAGGGGAGAGGGAGAGAAGAAGGGAGAGGGAGAGGGGAGAGGGAGAGAAGAGGGGAGGGAGAGAAGGAGGGGAGAGAAGGGAGAAAAGGAGGAGGGGAGAGAAGGAGGGGGAGAGGAGAGAAGGAGGGGAAGGAGGAGAAGAGAGGGAGGAAGAGGGAGAGGAGAGAAGGAAGGGGAGAGGGAGAGAAGAGGGAGAGGGAGAGAAGGAGGGGAGAGGGAAGAGGGAGAGAGAGAGAAGGGGGAGAGGAGAGAAGGAGGGGAGAGGGAGAGAGAAGAGGGAAGAGGGAGAGAGGAGGGAGAGGGAGAGAAGGAGGGAGAGGGGAGAGGGGAGAGGGGAGAGAGAGGGAGAGAGGGAGAGAGAAGGAGGGGAGAGGGAGAGAAGGAGGGGAGAGGGGAGGGAGAAGGAGGGGAGAGGGAGAGAGAAGGGAGGGGAGAGGGAGGGAGAAGAGAGGGAGAGAGGAGGGGAGAGGGAGAGAGGGGAGAGGGAGAGGGGAAGGGGGGAGAGGGGCAGAAGGAGAGGGAGAAGGAGGGGAGAGAGAGAAGGAGGGGAAAGGAGAGATGGGGAAAGAGAGAGAGAGGGGGAAAGACAGATGGGAGAGAGGAAGGGAGAGGGAGAGAAGAGGCAGAGAATGCACAGACAGAAATTAAGAAGACAGAAAAGATGAAAAGATAACTGAGGAAAAAAGGGAATAACGAGAGAAAGAAGATGGGAAAAGAGAGAGAGAAATAGCAACAGAGGAGAGTGAGAGAAACAAGAGACAAACGCAAAACAGACAAGATAAAGAGAAGAAAGAGTCCGCTACACATTCTCCCCAAAGGACCCAACGCCGCACCGTCCGTACTCCCAAGACAACAAAAAAAGGCAAGAAAAAGACAAGAAAAAGGGCAGATAACGCGCCATTTCGCATCAGCACCTGGGAACGGTTCCCCATAACTCCACTCCTCGCCGGGTACAGTCGAGCCAGGCTGTTGCTTGGGAAACCCCGGGAGGCTGCCCTTGCCTCGCCCCCCCCCCCCCCCCCCCGTCGCCGACTCACCTGATCCTGACGCCAGGTGAGCCGCTGCGTCCTACCGGCATCCTCCCGCCTCCTCCTCCTCGCGCAGAAAGGACGGAACTGCCGGGATTCCTCATCGAGGAGGATGGGGGGGGGGGATAAAGATAAATGCCGAAGCCCCTTTCGTCACGAACTGAAGCCCAGGGTATACGCGCGCCCCCTCTACCCCCCCCCCCCCTGCCATCGCTTCTCTCTTACGCTCTCAAGAACCAGCTTTTCTTTCCTTCCCTTGCGACGCACGCGAAACTCGCCCCTTCGCCCACCCTGCCGAGGGGCGCTCGAGGGACAGACCGTGTGGGCTGAGGAGACCGGTTGGACACTGGGCAGAGTGACCAGTGTCCTGCGGAAGGGCAAGCCGCACGCAGCCGCCGCTCAGGTAAAAAGTAAGAGTGAGGCGGCCATTGTCTACGTGCGTCTCGGATCTGCCTTACCACACCCTCTCTCTCTCTCCGTGCCTCTCCCTCTCTCTGTCTCTATCTCGTTCCCTGTCTGTCTCTCTCTTTCCCTTTCTGTCTTCCTTCTGTCTATATCCTACCCTATCTCACTTCCTTTCTTCCGTTCTACTCTCCTGTCTCACTCCCCTCTCTTTTACATCTTTCAGTTTCTCTCTCCTCTCACCCTTTCTTTATTCACCCATCTCTTCTACCTCTCTCTCTCTCTCTCCATTTCCCTATTCTCGCTCTCTCTCTCTCTCTCTCTCTCTCTCTCTCTCTCTCTCTCTCTCTCTCTCTCTCTCTCTCTCTCTCTCTCTCTCTCTCTCTCTTCCTTGTCCACATATCTTTCTGTTTTTTATTCTTGTAATTATTTTCATCGTGTGTGCTGAAAACTTTACCTTATATTGCATGTGTTTATACTGGACCTACTTTAAATCGTCATGACAATGTGATTGGAACTGTTCCAAGACGACAGAAGTTATAATATAATTTGATGAGTATATTATTCCCCTGATTGTGTTATGTCTTTCAGTTGGCTCTCAAATGAATGTTAAACAAGACACTTGACTTTGGCGAAGGTCAAGGTGCCCTGGGCATCACCTTTCCGTTTCAGACACCGAGGCTCGAGTCTAAATTGCACTGCATATAATACGCTTTGGTGATGAAAGCCCCAAAATACATCGATAAAAAGTCTAATCTGCCAGCACTGCCCAGCTCCTCCCGGGGCATCCCACCCGGGCATCCCGGGGCATCATCTCCGGGCATCCCACCCGAGGGTATCTCACCTGCTTGTGGTTCTCGTTGGCGATGTTGACGCCGTTGACCTCGACGATGCGGTCGCCCTCGAGCAGGCCGGCCAGCTCGGCGGGCGACGCGGCGTCCACCTTGCCGATGTACTGGCCGGGCTTGGACTTCTCGGCGTGCAGGTTGAAGCCGTAGCCCTCGAAGTCAGGCCATTTGGTGATGATGCAGAGGCGGGGGGCGGGGGCGTTGTCCGGGATGTCTGACATGGCTGGCACTGAGGGGGGCGCGACGCGAGAGAGAGAGAGAAAAGGGTACGAGGGTTATGCAGTTGGCACAGGTCGTCAGTGCAACAGGTAGCCGCCGCTCTCGTTTTTCGTTTCACAGGCCTGCAGGGAGCACCACCTCGTAAGCACTCATTCAACAGACTGAAGTTATGGTTGCCTCTCTCGGTGGTGTTGTCGCTGCCGACTCGCGCAGGAGATATCGTACTGTACACGATTTCTTTTTATACGAACCTAAACATTAACTTTATTTAAAATAAAAACTATGGTAAAACAGCATGTAAGAAAACAGAAACAGTAGTAACTTTAAGAATAAACACAGTAGCTTCCGTCAGGTACGGTAGCTGAAATACGTCTGGCAAGGCTGCGCAGGGGGCGACAGGTGGGTCACACGATCTCGCGTCACGGGGCACGGAGAATGTACAGGTGAGGGCCTTGTCCTGCATAAGCGAGCTCGCGGTGCTATGGGCGCCGAGGCAAAGGGAATCTGACTCTGCTTACGCCCGATCCCTCGCCAGAGGACTGCGGGCGAGACGGAAAGAGCTCGTCTATTACGCAATAGCTGGTTCTATGGCGAGAAATCTTGGATAACAGTGGCAAGTCAGGTTTTGCGAAGATAGATTAGCAGAGCCATTGGTCGAGAATCGATTTTGGTTTTAAAGCCGCTAAATAGCAAAGAAGCGCTGCCTGCATACATAGTTGTATATGTAAGTGTGATTAGATGCGCACAAACAGACATTCGCGTGCACACAAAAACACACATACATAAAAACACATACACACAGGACTCAAGACGTATGATAAATATACATATAAACACACACACACACACAGCATATATATATATGATTCATATATGTATATATATGTATATATATATATATATATATATATATATATATATATAATGTATATGTATGTATGTATTTGTATACACACACACACACACACACACACACACACACACACACACACACACACACACATATATATATATATATATATATATATATATTATATATATTATATGTATGTGTGTGGTGTGTGTGTGTGTGTGTGTGTGTGTGTGTGTGTGTGTGTGGTGTGTGTGTGTGTGTGTGTGCGTGCGTGTGTAAACATATATGTTTGTACATACGCGCGCACATACACATACACACACACACACACACACACACACACACACACACACATATATATATATAATATATATATATATATATATATATATATATATATATATATATATATATACATATATATGGTATGTATATATATGTGTGTGTGTGTGTGTGTGTGTGTGTGTGTGTGTGTGTGTGTGTGTGTGTGTGTGTGTGTGTGTGTGTGTGTGTGTTGTGTCTATATATGTACACAAGCATTTATTAAGTAATATTCGCGGTCCAAGTCTACGGCATGTCTCATCCACATTTGACACGAACTTTTTTCCAATTCTAGCCAAGGCAGATAGACGAGTTCAGGAGCTTTTCAATTGTTATAAAGTTAATGACATCAGGCAATCTTATGCAGTTTCTTAAAGTCAATACAGAATTCAGAGAATAAAGAAGTGAGATTCGTAGTAAACACTGGGAACAATTCTTGCAAAGTACCAATAGTATGGTATCAAAAGTATCAACTCTATAGCTGACGTATGGAGAAAGATTGACAGGCTGACAGGTAAAGCTCCCACAACACCGCAGTTTCACCGCCCACAAGAACAGCCTAATATGCCGCTGGAGCAGTGGGCCGAAAACTCTCAGCTGAAAGTAGATAGTCGAAAGTAGATAGAAAATTCAATATAGCAGCGCCCTCTGCTGCTACTGACCCGTCCGGCTTTGCCGAAATAACCGAGTGGGAACTGAGAAATGCCCTTATGAAAGGCAAGGCAACAGCCCCTGGCGAGGATGGCATTACTTACAGTGTTCTTCGCCTCATTGCGCAGGTGCCAGGCAACCCACTCTTACACCTGTATAGACTCAGCCTATCACAAGGAATCCTCCCAAGCTCCTGGACTAAAAGTTTAATCATCCTAGTACCCAAACCCAACACTGACAAATACAGACCAATTTCCTTGACCTCGTGTCTGTGCAAAGTACTTGAGAAAATAATTCTGAACAGACTCAGGTACCGTATACATGCTAAGTTATCCCCCAGACTGTATGGATTTCTCCCAGGACGTAGCAGTCAGCATTGTTTTCTGAGTACTTAACAAACTCAATACCAGGCATGCAAACCGTATTTCTTGATCTTCAATCTGCCTTTGATATTGCAAACAGAGAAATGATCCTTGAGCAACTAACTAGCTTTGGTATTCGGGGAAAACTGTTAACATGGATTCAAATGTATCTATCCAACCGAACAGCTCAGGTTTTCTTCAGGGGAATTAAGAGCACTCATACAAAACTGTTTGAACCCGGTACACCTCAGGGAGGCGTACTTAGTCCCATGCTATATAACATCCTAATGCATAGATTACTAGGCGGTATACCTCCAATATTTGCTATGCCGATGATATTTGCATTAAATCCTCATCCGAGGAGAGAATGCAACAGATTATTGATGTACTTTCAGCAAGGGTCACAGAGTGTGGCCTGATCATATCGACTGAAAAACCAAGGCACTTAACCCTAAGACAATCCCTCTGCCAAGGTTTCACATCAATGACGTTGAGCTAGATCTCTGTCACCAATACAAAATAATACCTCGGGGTGGTTATTAATGATGCAGAGTCCATACAAAACCAGAAGAAAAGTCTGTGGGAGCAGCTGAAGCCCCTTAGGACACTTGTCGGCAAAGACCATGGTAATGTCAATATTGCGACTCTTACCTGCCATACATACGGTCGGTCATAGATTATCATGCATTACATCTAGTATTGGTCAAGGAATCAGAGTTGGCTAGTTCAGAAGGCCATGAGGGTTATTCTCGGTGCCTCTAAAACAACGAGGATTGTGAATATGAGAATAGAACTTAATTTGCCGTCTGTCTATGAAAGAAAATTATACATAAACACCACATTTAGCGTCAAAGCAATAAGTGAACCCCTCTATTGTACAGAGTTCCAAAGACAACTAAAACATAGAATAGTGGAGCTAACTTTGAATGGCAACATCGATTCAAACTCAAATCCATGGCTACAAGTAACATATAAACACTTGTCTCAGCTGAACATACCCATAAGACCCTACATGGACGTTCTGCTCCACCGTGGGAAATACAACTGCCCCCCAAAAGACAGTGTCTCCCATGCTGTAGTTAAGCAGTATGCTTTGGCAATTATCACTGAGCATCTTGAAACTGTGCCCAATGCGTATGAATGCTACACTGATGGATCCTTGCAGTCTGGGAGTAGAGCAGGATGCGCTTTTGTCGTATATCAAAACAATAGTTTGCAGCACCAGGATTGTAGGAGGGTTCATGACTGGGCTAGCACTACGCAAACTGAGTTGGCAGGAATGCTCATAGCCACCGAGCTTCTATTAAAATCCAGGATCTTGAAATTTAGCAGGAAGCTCCAGAAAACACCACTGACCATCCGCAATGCAGGACAGCTCTGTCTTCCGCTGACAGGGAAGCCTCACTGGCTCCCCCTTTGAACTCAACTAACCCGCAGCACCAAGCCATCGTAGTGGGCACTCACGCCCACACAAACACTCCCCAATGAGACAAACCAGTACAAAGTAGAAACAGCCATTTCTTACAAGTACTTTAGGATTAGGATCTACTCTCTGGAAACAAATTATGGAATGACTGTTTTCTGACAGTTTCCTTAGTTTTTACTTGATCTTCACTTTAGGATGCCCTTCATACGCAAACTTGGTTCTTTTCAAATGTGAAATACACTTCTCAAATAACTTACAAATGGATAGTCTCTTTGATCAGGTGATGGTAAAATTTTAAATCAAGGCTCAGGGTCATTTTCAGCGATTCGTAGAGTGCTCTCCAGCCTTTGAACACACAACACAAAGGTGCAAGAAATATTGCAAATGACATCAGGATAAACGTGTATCGTGCAGAAGAACGTTTGTGTGGATACCATCGCATGTTGGAATCCCCAGGCATGATCATGCTGACCGCCTAGCAAAATCAACATGTGATAAGCAAAGTGTGGATATAGATCTTGGAGTACCTCTTGCTAGGATTTCACACATAATCAAAACTTCCTTCAAAGAGGGCTTGGCTGACATGACTAATGCTCAACGGCCTGAAAGCTGTAGCATAAAGCACCATGACCGGTCTATGCAAGATGTATTCATCTATGGTTTATACAAAACAAGAACAAGATAGTGTGATACCGTGACCGCAAGAATCAGGCTGGGATATAGATTGCACTGACAGGTCAGTACAGTCTGTATCGTTGAAGAACTATGTAAATTATTTAATGAAGAATATAAGCGAACACTTGTACATAATATCTGTGCCATGTAATACAGCCTTTTAGACCACCTAGCATGAGGTATGGGAAACTATGTAACTATTCCATATCATCTGATGTCTTGGAAGATATACTTATGCTGTATCCTAAATTTGGAATGTATCGCATGACCACATATCAAATGTTACAATGCCTTTCCACGCCCAAGTCGTCCGCCAGCTTGGTAGATGAGTAAATAAATTACTGTGTGATTATTCTTTTCTTTTAAATGATGTAGGTCGTAATAATGTTATAGACTAGACTTTCACTGAAATACTATTATTATCTAATGCTTTGACGACGCATCAGATGAACCACAGCTTGCCCGCGCCTGTGCAGTTAACCGGGGTGGTAAATAAAGGACTAAACTAAACCAAACTAACTTTTTAGTTCAACAGCATTCGGAATTTTGAGCGAGCATTTGTAAGTCTACAAGAAGTAATAAGATTGTATACTTGTTGGATATCTTCATAGATTTGGTTCTTAAATATAGTTTTTGTGATGCAGTCGGCAGTGTCATTAACATCACTAATGTCCGAAAAGTGCATTTTAAACATTTGTCTGAATCTTTTTTTATCCTCATGCTCCCTTTCCCCGTTGGTTATTGCCTTCCTTGTCCAACGGAATGATCAAATATCAAATATAATAATAATAATAATAATAATAATAATAATAATAAAAAAAAAAACTTTCCTTACTTTAGTGAATCTTGTTCAGAGAACGAAAACAAAATCATATAAACTCAAAATCAT